TAGGATGGTGTTACCTAGCTCCTCCCATGGCTGAAGCTGATTGGACCGCAGGAAGACACCTGATCCAAATGATACCAATCGGATTTTTTATCCCAGGAACTTGGCTTGGGTGGTAGCCTAGTTACTAAATGGGTGCCTAGAATTTAAGCCTATCTATAAGCTTGGGGCAGCCTCCCCGTCATGTGCCTTGGGGAGCAGAGAGACTTGTGGAGAGCTGACTAAGGCCCGGCTGCACCCAGCGATTGGACTCTGGGGTACATTTCTCATCCTCATAGAATACATTTCTCTCAGCTAACTCTTGTTGTTTTCTGTCACTGTAACCAGGAGTCTTGTTAATTGCCTACTAGGGGAAAAAATGGGATCCCAGGGCTTCTGGGTTGGGCTTCCAGGTCCCTCACCCTTCAGCACAGTTTTCTAAATGCTGACAGGGAGCACAGCAGCCCCAGCTGGCCCACGACCTTCTCTCTGTCGGCCCCCTTCCACCACCACCCCACCCACCCACCCCCGTTCTTGGAGGCTATCTGCCCGCTCGCTCAGCCCCACAGCAGCCTGCTCACCAGTTGTTCAACCCACTTTCTCCAGACACAATCTTTTTCGCACAGTTGGCAGTTGACAGGAGGTCTGGGTTCAGCAGCTCTGAAAGGGGAGAGGGGAGACCGTGAGGGCACAGAGGGCCGTCCCCAAAGCAGAGATGACGGAAGCGGGTCCTCCCTCATGGCAGATGCCACCCCACATGGCTGCTGGAGGTCAGGGCTGAAGAATGTGTGGGTGGGGGCCCACCAGGGCTGAGATGCGGGTCTGTTCACCCCCTTACATCCTAGCCCGGCAGACGGCAGTTCCCCCAGGTTGTGTCTCTAGGGAGAGGAAATGCCAACACAAGCAGCACAGGGACCTGCTGCGGGGCTGTCCTGGAGGGGATCCCAGGAACATCAGCAGGAGGAAGTCAGGGGCCAAATCATGGACTCTGAGAAGCTGCCTGGATCACCTTACAGGTGGGGCGTTTGCACTGGCCTTTGGTCAGGTTATGAGCCAAAGACAGTGGTACCCAGTGGTTGGAGCCAATGCTTCAAGGCCACCAGTCTAGCAGTCAGTCAGTCTGGGTACTCTCTGGGAACCCGCTTTGTTCATCTGTAAAGTAGGGATCATAACAGCTCCCGTTGCACGGAAAGTTGGTAGGATGGAGAGAGCTGGACCTTGGGACGAGGCAGCTCTCGATAAGGGTTGACCGTGGTCACGTCTCTCTTCCTCCTCTGGCTATGCAGAGCCGTTGTGGCCCCTGCTTGAAGACTTGACGAATCTCCTAACTGGATGGACATTCCCTGATTTCTTAAGCTGCCCCCTTGAGGTCTCCCCAGGCTACGGTGTGAGATCCTGTGAATATAAACTAGTGCTCCCCACCCCCTGCTTTCCCACCACCACCACCCCTGGCCAGACCTGTACAGTCCATTTGGCAAAGGTTTTCCGAGTGACTCAGGTAATCATTACACCAGTAGTGACTGTTGATCTGGAAGACACCATAATCAAAGCTGCCATCTGCATTTTCATTTATCTTGGATGTGTTGAACTTGCTTTCCACAAAAGCCAGGCACAGCCCTGATATTGGGGAGAAGGGGTCATGATTCAGAGACAAGGACTCAGAAGAAGGAGCCAGGTTCAAAAGGGCTAGACAGAAACACCCACTGGCCTTTCTTCCCATCCTTGCTCCCGTCTACCCATCCATCTCCCAACTCAACAAGACAACACTCATCCATCTGTCCATCCACGCTTTCTTGACTCAGTGAGCACCTGCCACATGCCAGGAACTGTATAAAGCCCAGGGAGGGGGTACTAAACTGGGCCAAACATTGATTCTGCCCTCCAGGGTCAAGTACAAGACAAGCTATTAGAGGAGAAAACAATGGGACTGATGGTTCCGGGGGAGACATGGGAGAGGGGGAGATGGGGGAA